CTGCGGCGCGTTTCGCAGCTGGATGCCCCGCGGCGAAACGCGACAGCGCGGTGCAACGTTAACGCAGCACAGCGCAGCACAGCGCGCAATGCAACTGTTTCTCGTCGCATCGTCGTCACTGACGCCGATGCCGCAGCTGTAGCTATACCGCCACCGATCTTATTGATCTATGGTAGAACCATTAACCATCAGAGCGTGCACCGAATGTTTCGGAACTAATTTAAACTTAGCCGCTTCTCCGCCCGCGGCATACACGACGTCGAATTAAAGACTTCGCTCTATCTCTAGTCTGTCGTGTGTACATTGATATGTACCGAGTCTCCGCCGATTAAAGCGACCGCGACACGTTGTGATTCCGTTTGCGGCATCTACCCCCGTCGAGTGTTTGCTCGGATATTTCAAGGCGCGCGCTTATCTTCTACCGTTTAATCCGAGATGTTTTGTTTTTAAAAGAATTATGTAGATTGAAATTATAATTAAATCAGATGTGAATTGAAATTAATTAATTAAATAATACATAAATTGAAATGGATATCATGAAGTAATAAAAAGAGAAAAAATAGATTATAGATTATATTTCTGAATTTAGAGCTTCTTCGTAAACTAAACTAACTAAAAGTTTGATGGGAAGTTTGTTATACTTATTGCAGTATTTCAATTTTTTGTTATTTGATATTTTTATCTACTATTTGAATTTAGTGAATCAATTTTTATTGGAAAAAAAATGAGCGTTTTATAATATCGTGCCAAGCGAGTGATATAGAAACTGACACATTAGTAAGATTGATCTCGATACGTTTGCATCGTAGTCATACGAGATAAAGCTTGAAAATTTCGAGCTTTCTTGATCTCTTTTATGTTCGAATTAAATGATGAAAACGTTAATTAAACGGTTTTTCCGATAGTTAATCACAATCTCGCTATCGGCAACGAACACCCACACTATGTTCCGCACTAATTAACTTTTGGATGCATACATCTAATTTTTTTTCCTGCACTTTCGATTAATTTTTTTGTTCTGCTGGCGAATAATTTTCAGACCAACCTTAATCTACTTTTTTTTTTTTTTCAGAGCGTGGAGTATTTTTTTAAAAGAGAGTTATTTTGCTTTTACTTTAATTACTCCGGCTCTTCATTATGAAAGCATATAGCCTAAGGTTAGAAAACGTGGCGCCCAAAATGTAACAATATTGCAATATAAGCTATGGAGCCTGGAATACTAAACCGGCAATAATTTTATGGAAATCAAGCGTTGCTACCGCTGTACGTGCCATACAGACGATGGAACGCGCTTATACGGGTATGAGAAGAATGAACGAGGACCAAGGCATCGTGCAACGGCATATAGTTACAAGTATATTATGGTTTCTCGGCTTAAACTGGATTTCGAACGCGCGCGAGCGTTATCGTCCCAACACACTGTGATTGTTGGGGAAGTCCGCTTATATATACGCACCGGGAGAGGCACATACGGCATTCAGCTTAAGGATATAATGCCACCTGTATACCTAATCCTACTTTTGACTGACGCGTCATCATCGAGTTTCACGAGAAATCTCTATAAAAGAAACTTTTTGCGTAACGCGATAAAATTCCTTCAAAAAGGAATTATGTTCAATTATAATTCTCGGATAATCGCGCGACGAACTATTTAAATAGTATTAAAGTATTTGCTAGATGAAAAACTATATATATTCAAATTATATTCCAAACTAACTTGTGTGAAAAAAAAATATCCGGAAAGATAAGAGACACAGATTTGACGTAGAAATTATTTCTATGTCAAATAACGAAAAAATATTTAAATGGAGTGGCTGATCAATCTTGGTAATTTTATTAGTCAAATAAACGTAATACGATATCTTTTTTTTTTTCAATTTAAAAATATTGCCGAACAATGTAATATTTTTTAACATATTGTGAATGCAGGAAATGGAATATCGGTATAGGACGATATCGTGGGATCACTCTATCTTCGGCAAGCCCGGCGACTAATCCTGCACCCGGCAAATACCGTAACCGAAAAACGAATAGAAATAAAAAAATAAACGGCGCGTTCGTATATACCGTTCGGCGTTTCAATATGCCGACGCGCACGAGCAGGACAGCTTCGCGAAACACGTTACAAATTTTGATTGAATAAACGTTGGATCGTTTCGCTTTCGGCGCGCTGATTTTTGCGGAATTAAATGACGAATGCAGCGAGCGCGGAAAGATACGCGCACTTCGAAAGACAATCTATATGTTGAAAGAGATACAACGGATGAAATAAACCAGTTTACTGCTCTGCCTCGCGCGCCGTTATATGAAAAAACTTTGTTTTATCATTATGTGCGCGATTAAATCATGCATTGATTATCCCGTTATAATATTAATGATTATAATATTAATTGGAACACCTTTACGAATCCTCGTCATAATTCAATTTTTACTTTGTTATTCTTGTGCCATTTTTTTTCATTCACTTGCTTGTTCATCTACTATTTGGTCATATTGAAATAAACATGATAACAATCTCCAATTATTTGATAACAAGATTTTTATAATTTCATTTGTCCAACATAAATCTTAAAATAATATTTTTTTATTTTGTGTAGATTTGAAAGAAATTTCTGCGTTGATTGGAAAATCGAATGTATAAATCGAATGTATATTACTTTTATATTTTATTTTGAAAAATCATGCCGCAGTACATTTCTGCCACTAATTTTTTCGCCGTCTATTTCTGTCATTGTTATTACCGCGATTTGCTGTCGGCATTAAGAATATTTCATTCGCGTGTACTTTGTTATTTGCGTTTGTGTCTCTCGAGTTTATTCACCAGCAACGCTAACATCATCAGCGTTCTCGTTGCTGAGGCCAGAGACGTGAACCGTGAAGGTCTTTATTTGAACATCACCCTTTCATTTGCCGACACAATTTACTGATTGGACAGAATTCTCTATCCTCTCGTTGCCTTTGCCATTACGTTTTGAATTAATTCATCCGGGAATATATGTGTCGCTTCATATTAAAAATTCTGCAATAAAGAATATCGTCTCAAGTGTTAGTTGCATTTCAGCGACTATTTTGTATACTATGACAACGTTTACACGTGTAAAATAGGTACTTCTACACCAGCAAGTGTTACAAGTGTTGAGCGACATTTTTTAGTAACTCGTTAGGAAACTAATTTAACTTCGCAGTAGCTTTTAATGCGAACTGCATCGGCTTTATGCGACGTAGTCGACACAAGAGTAGCGCGAGGTCCATCTTTGTTTTAAAACATGCTAACAAAAGAGAATCTCTTGCGGAAGTGCTATATACAGTGAAGCGGAAATGATAATACAACTGAAAAGGAGGTCATTTCTCACACTAAAAGAAGCTTGACAGTTCAAAATAATTTGTTTGACATCGTGTCGGCAGTGTCAAAATAAAAATATATACCATAACTTTTCGTTAGAAACTAAAGCTCACATTTTTCTTCAATGTTTATATATACTCGTATATAAAATTTTTGTAATGACTTAAATTCTTTTAAATTGATTCGCTAAACAAAAATTTAATAACCGTTAATACTTGACAATATTTTTATACGGCACATAAAGAGGTCCTCCAGTTTTAAAAAAAGATACCAATATTTAGAACAGAATTCTTCAGATATGTAGTCACAGATAAAAAAATATATTCTGTATATTTTTGATTTTTTGTCTTGTTACAATTTCCATCTGACAATGAAATATATACGTATACATATCTACACACACACACATATATATATATATATATATATA